TCCTCCTCCTCCTCCTCCTCCTCCTCCTCCTTCCCCTCCTCTTCCTCCTCCTCCTCCTCCTCATCCTCCTCCTCCTGCTCCTGGTCCTCCTGCTTCTCCTCCTCCTCCTCCTCCTCCTCCTCCTGATCCTTATCCTGCTCCTCCTCCTGCTCCTGCTCCTGCTCCTGCTCCTCCTCCGCCTCCTCCTCCTTCTCCTTCTCCTCCTTCTCCACCTCATCCTCCCTCTCCTACCTGTGGTAGCGGCGGTGGAACATCGGCTCATCATATGCAGTTCTTCCTTCCGGCTTCGCTCGCGTTCTTCGGCGCGCCTCTGCCAGGCCCCGCCGAGCAGCTCCTCCTCGGCGCAGGCCTCGAGGCACCCGGCCCGGCCGCCGCGGCACCCCAGCGCGGCGAGCGGCGGCGACGGTGGCGGCGGCGGCGACCCGTTGGCATGGGCTCGAGATGGGGCCATGAACCCTCGAGCTGGAAATCGACCACAGTGATGGGCCTGTTTTCCACCACCACCATAAGTTGGAGGGGAGACGGAGGAGGAGGAGGAGGAGCTTCTCCCCCTCCAACAACTTCTGGTGGTGGTGGTGGAAAAGAGGCCCAGCATACAGAGTTCATTTACTCCACAGTCCTCATGTTCGGCGAATCTGCGGGCAAAGACGCATACTGTTCGTAGACCTTCGAACATTCTGTACGCATCCTCCGTAGACCCGACGCACGAATCAAATTTGGGGTTAACCAATTCTGAAGTCGGTCGCCTACTCGAAGCCCTGAGGGATTCTGATGCAACTTTTCTGGGGCTCTTGTGATCGCAGAGGGCAGAGTTCGATTCCGGCTGTCTTGGGTCCGTACTCGGGCTCCATGGCGGCGCATCCAGTTGCGCCCCTGGCGCGCTGCTTGGCTCAGAGAGGAAAGCATATCCCCTGATCAGTCGCCGCCGCCGTCTTCGTCGTCTTCGCCGTTCTCGTCCTGAAAGCCGCCACTGGCGGCGCTGCCGCCGTCGTCAGCGTTGTCGTGTCGGCGATCCACATATGGCCCTGAGAAACGGGGCCCCAGGGCGGAGAGACCTTGCACAGTCCAGATTCCGTACACCTACTGGCCCTCGAGTATGATTTTTCCGGGGTTTTGGGGCTGGGTGGATGCGGCTCCAGCTGTTCGTGTTCCCGCTGCTACCCATGCTGCTTGCCATTCCCCCTTCTGTCCCAGCCCGGCCAGCCAGTCACCCCGGTCACAGGCCACCTTGGAAATAGAGGAGCAGCAGAAAACATAAACCTCAGGTGTCCGAGGCCCGCGGGCTCTGGGCCAAAGAGAGGGGTCCTGAGGGAACCGCGTCCTGCAGGTTTTTGGCCTCGGGCCTTGGGGGTGCTTTCAACGGGCCCCAGGACCAGAAGACGATCCGTCATGCCAAGCTGGTCCTGGAGAGCCCTACAGTCCAGGTCATAACTCGCTTCCCTCAGTTCCCCGTGTTCCTTCATGCCATGGCGATGCGTCCCGTTTCGCCTCAGAGCACGGTGTCCGAGCGCATACGTTTGAGCATCTTGGTGGGCGTGGCCTGCCCGTCGATAGTGCCAGAAGAGCATGCTCGGCGAAAGGATTCCATCATTGACATATCGAACACCGCACACGAGTTCAGTGTTGCTGGCGTTTGAGTTCTGATGCGTATTGCATGCCAGCGGATCCGAAGGATTGATGGTGTTGCTTATGTTGCCTGCAGGGCTTGCGGTACTGGTAGGTAGTGTGCTGTGCACGTGCACAATGTGTCGGTCATTTGCGTTGTGGGAGCCGTACGTCTCATGGTGGTCTCCAGCTTTACAGATGGTCACAGGCATCGTTGTGGTCATGGCGCTATGGTGGCCAAAAACGGAGTAGTGCCCAGGGGTGTTTGTTGCTTTGAATGTGCCTTTGACAAATGCAGTCGGACACCCTTCTGACTCCCTCTCTTCCATCTTATCCGCCTCGCCGCCTCTTTCGGTTAGGTGTTTCCTTCAGTCTCATCACTCCCGTCCTCGTCGTTGTCGTCGCAGGTTTTCTGCCCCCTCCAATATTCCTGCCCATCACGTTAGAAACCCGAGGCCTATGACATTGACAGGTTGCGTCTGTTTTCTCATCAACGCTTACACGGTCCACTCAGATACAATGTCGAATTTGGCAAAAGTCCAGTGCCGATTTTTTTGAGTGGCGGCAGGGTTCCTGGGATCATGGTTCCAGCTCCTCGGGTCTGATGATTGGGCGGATTTGACGAATGTGTTTTGCCGATTTCGGAGGGTTCCAGGTTTTGGTCCAGGTACCGGCCCAGAATAGTTACATGTTTGTTGTTACCGAAAGGCCTTCGGCCCATTCTGGCACCGTGCCTGGGTTGTGGATCAGAGTTCTCAGGGATGTTTCTTCGGGGCGCTCTCGAGGGCCTCTTGGCAGCAGTGTTGCGGCCTCTTGAGAGCCTCTAGGGGGCCCCCTGTGGGCCTCTCGGGGGACTCTTGGGAGCCTCGTGGACCTTCGGGGGGCATCTTGGGGCCTCCTGGGGGCCTCTCGGGGCCGAGGGCTCGAACTGTCCGCTCGGGTTTCCCATCGGGGCCCCTTCTTGGGGCTGTCTTTGGGCCCTCTTGGGTCGGGCCGTCTTGGGGCGATCGTGGGAGCCTCGTGGGCCGTTTGGGAGCGTCGGAAAGCCGAAAAGGCGAGAAGTCCAAACACCTTCAAACACTCTTAGGAACATTAATGACTTGTGCCTCTTTGGGCCTCTTGGGCCGTGTTGAGGCCATCTTGGTAGCATTGGGGCACTCGTGGGCCTTCTCGGAGGCGTCTTTGGCCCTCTTGGGCGCTTCTTGGGCCCATGTTTGGCCAGCTGCGCTACTGGATGACGCACGCGACGCGCCCGGAATATCCCTGGAAATCCTTGTTGGCCCGAGCTCTTAGAACAGTTTAAAACCCTACAGCTCGGAATATCTCAGGGCTGCATGAGCCTTGGGGCACTCCGCTACGTGCTGAAGGCACGGTGGCGGATAGTGGAGTCTAGAGAGTAGATTCCTTGCGAAAGTGCGCAGGATGCAAAAAGCAGAGAGCATCGAGTAGAGAGCCAAGAGTGTGGAGGCGAGAGTATTTGAGTGAGGAGGGTGTAGAAAGTGGTGAGGAGTGGGCGGAGGGTTGACATTAATAGCAGACGGGGGCGGAGCAAGGGACAGCAGAGCAGCGGTAGTAGAGCACAGCAAGTACGTAGATAGTAGAGCGCGCAGATAACCAAAGTTGCCATCTGCCGCTCTCGCCCATCACCTTGTCTCTACACTCGACGCACAAACGACCGCTATGCTCGGCGTCGCAATTGGCTCTCATGGTGCGTATTGTATAAACGGTGTCAGGGGTGCGCACACTCTGCGTTTGTCCAGTATTGTTGGCACTGCGACTGGGAGGGTTTGCTGTCCGATTCGTGTCCCCTGTCCCCTCAGTGTGTCCCCTGTCCCCTGAATGTCCCCTTTCTTCTCCTGGAAACACCTCGACGTGCAAACGGCCGATCGTTTTCTCTCTGGGGCAATGGTCCACACAGTCCCGTGCTTTGGTGGCGTGAGCGGGCGTGCGCCTCGCGGCGTACACGGGACAGCGGGTACGCGCACGAGCGACTGTTCTGGGCGAGGAAGACAATCCCCTCCTTCTCCTCCTCCTCCTCCTCCTCCTCCTCCTCCTCCTCCTCCTCCTCCTCCTCCTCTCCCGCCAGGGAAACTTTGGCCCCGCTGGGCAGTCTTAGGGGAACGAAGAATAACATAAGCATAAATCAACTCGGAGGTCCGCGCGGACTTCTCGGATCCACGCTGGACCCCCCGGCGGCGCCTCCGGCGCCGCCCCTGGCGCGCTCTGCGCGCCAGGGAGGGGGGTCAGCGCCGATCCGAGAAATCCGCGCGGACCTCCGAGTTCTTGTGTCTATGTCGTTGCTCGTTCTCCGAAATGTGCCCCCCCCCCCCCCCCCCAGGTGGGGATGGGTACCGTCTCCTTCGGGTTTCGGTGCACCCACCCCAGCCAGAGGGGGTACGTTGAGATAGCCAACTTACCCTGCCCCAGCGGTTCCGACGACGATGAGTTGTGGCGTGCGTGCGTGAGCGCCTGGCTGCGCTCGTGCCCGCCGGATGGTGTGCGCGTGCGCGCTGGTGTGTGTGTGTGTGTGTGTGTTTGTGTGTGTGTGGGGCTGTGTGTGTGTTTTGCATGTGCCCCCTCCCGCGAATCTCGGGGAAACGTAAGACTCGAGTAAGCCGGAACTCGGGTTTGCCGACTTTTTGTTGACGAGCGCGTCCTGGATTTTGACGGTGCCGTTTTCGTGGGATGTCTCCAGCGGGAGCCCGCGTCACATTTCAGATTGGGCCTCGTCATTTTTATGATGGCCCTTGTCAGGCCAACCCGAGGCCCCCGTATCCGAGTCTCACGTCTCCCCGAGAATCGTTGCGTCGCGCGGCACCCTGCGGGTGCGCCCTGTGCTTCCCCGCCGGGGCTGCTCGAGAGTGCGAGCGAGGTGGGCTCTCGGAGGCAACGACAGGGGCGAGTAGCCCAGGGGGGAGCAATACACGTATCCAGAGGCGCCGATGGTACATGCCTTCGGTGAGGCTCCCGGGCGAAAACGTGTAACGCCCGCCCCTCGGCTATTCGCCCCTATCGTCGCCCCCGAGGCTCTCGGTTCGGGACACCGGCCGGCCGTGCCAGACTCCGCGGGGCCGTTGCGCGCGCGGACGGGACGCCACAAAGTGCATGTAACCATGTCGACCCCTGGAGCCCAAGCCTGGGATAGACGATGGGGTGGCGTCCATCCTCGATTGGGCTGAGGCGCGCGGCACAGCACGCGCGCGCGGCACGGCACGGCACCGTTTTGTTGTTTCTGTTGGGGACTTCTCGGCGCGCGGGCACGGCACGGCACGGCATCACGGGCGCGCTGGCGCGGCACGTCGCGTTCCTGTCAACGGCCCCGTGCGCGGGCATGGCACGGCTCGGCACGGCGCGGCACGCTGGCGGCGTATGTTTCGCACTCTGTATTGGAGACGCGGGAACTTCCAATGCAAGCCGGCCCTTTCCTCGGCGCTCGCAGTTCAGAGACCACTCGCCCCACAGGGCTCCCGCGGCCGCGAGCGCGCCCGCGCGCCGATGGCTGCTCCGGCCGCGCCCGCGACGGCGCTGGCGGCTCCGGCGGAGGCGTCGTCGTCGAGTTTCGAGCGCGGGGGCTGGAGCTTCGAGGCTCGCTCCGGACGACGAGGGGATTGGTCGGTGACCACATGTGAACCCTACTCCCACTCCCCCACGACTTCCAAGGAGGGGGGGTTGGGGTTCACTTCGTTCGGAAGCTCCCTAGCGACATGAACCCCGACCCCCCCTGAGAAATCGTGCGGGGTGGGGGTCGGGTTCACATGTGGCCACCTAGTTTGGAAGCGAGGGGAGGAACGAAATCTGCCGCATGCAGCTGCCTTCGGCCCCGCCGCCGGGCGCATGTGCACGGGCACCCCTCGGGCGCCCGGCGGCGCTCGTGGGCGGAAGACAGATCCGCACCCGCGGCCTCGCGGGCCGGGCCCCTGGGCCGCGACCCCGTTCGGGGCTCCAGAGACGGTGGTCCATGCAGACGGGGGTCAGCCAGAGCGCCCGATCTTGCAGCATCCTGCAGGGCCACGGTCGCATTGACCCGTGCTTGGGTGCAGGGTCTTGCAGTATGCTGCAGGACCCTTCGCATTGAGCCCGCTTTGGGTGCAGGATCGTGCAGAAGTCGGCAAGGCCTGACTGACCCGGGTCTGGATTGACACGGGTCAGAAGTTCTCCGACCCGTGGATGCGGGGCGTCTTTTCGCGGATGCCCCGCGCGGAGTGTGTCCGGGCGACCGCGTATTCGCAGGATCGCGCCCCGGAATCAGACCGCGAGGGCGCGGATACGGATAGGTTCGCCGCTCGTGATGTGCCACCCCTCCCCCCGTCTCGCCTGACCCGAGAGGCGCGCCGGTGCCCCATCTGGAGCTCCGACCGCGCGGATCAGCTCGCCAGGGAGTTGCAGCTCTGCAAGGTGCCGGACATGTTCTGCGGCGACGCGGCGCTGTCGATGCGCCACGGGGCGTCGGGCACTTCTAGGGGGCCACATGCGAACTACCCCTACCCCCCACGATTTCTGAGGAGGAGGGTGGGGTTCACTCCGTTTGGGAGGTCCCGAGCGAAGTGAACCCCATCCTCCCCCTCAGAAATCGTGGGGGGTAGGGGTAGGGTTCGCATGTGGCCACCTAACCTCCGTCGAGCTGCGCGCGTGCGACGCGCTGCTGTGCTGCGGCTGGGGCACCCCTGGCGGCGCGCCGTCGGCGCTGGCGCCGGAGGGGCCGCCCGGCGAGCCGCTGCTCGGCCGGGTGCAGTGCGAGGTGGGCCCTCGGATGTCGAGGGAGGGCCAGGCGAGCCAGCGGCGGCCCTCCCCGTCCCCCCGTCGATTAGCGTTAAGTCTGGCCTGTCCCTCTACAGGGGGACATTTAAGGATAGTCAAAACATAGTCTGTGGGGATTTTTTCTGGCTATTTGAAAGTAGTTTGTTAGAGTTTTCCATTTGTCGCCCAAAATCCCCCTGTAGGGGGACAGGCCCGATTTAAAAGTGGGCCCTCGGATGTCGAGGGAGGGCCAGGCGAGACAGCGGCGGCCCTCCCCGTCCCCCCGTCGATTAGCGTTAAGTCTGGCCTTTCCCTCTACAGGGGGACATTCAAGAATAGTCAAACATAGTCTAGAGTTGGGATTCGATAGGGGGTCTGAAGGGGCGGATGACTAGAGGATAGGGGTATCTCTTCGGGCGGCCAGGAGTTGGAATCCGAATTTAGAGAATTTCGATTTCCAATGGCGTAGGCGCGATAGTTTTTTTTGCGCGGTTTTCGAAAACAATAACAGCTTTTGTTCGGTGGTGTTTCGTGGCACAATACGTCGCCAATGGCAGCTGCTAGCAAAGAGCTACTGCAACGTTGCGATCGCGGCTTTCGTTATTTCAATGTTGGTTGCTCGTGTTCTTATTCGCCGAGGGTCGTTTGCGAAATGTAGCGAGGATTAATCATTCCCCACCCTGCGGCTGCGTTGGGGCTTGTTTCATGTTGCATAAGTTTCCAAGCCTCGTGTTTGCCTGCGGCATTACAAACTTCCCGCCAACTTCTGAGTTTTCCTAGGCTAGCGTAAGGTGTGCTTCATTATGTTATATGTTGGCGGGCCTCCTGGGGCCTAGGGTAGGGCCTACTCTAGGGCATCTTGGGGTCTAGTTCGTCCAGGGTAGACCGACCTCCCTGGTTTAGCAATCCTTCTTGTACAAGCCCGCAGTAGCAACGGTGATACATGAGGTCACCCTCGCGGACCAGACGTGCTACTTTGATTTGGGAGATTGGATTTCGGCCCTTTTCAGATGAGTGTGTGCCGATTCGGTTTTGCAAATGCACGCCGTCCCAGACTTTTTGCGCCCGCGGCGCTGGCATTCTGATGGTTCTATAGTTCAGACCCCCCATCGGAAGCCAAGTCTAGAGATTTGTTCAAGCATTTGTTTGCTATGTGAGGGCATGTTGTTTTGTGAGATCGCCCAAAATGTTCCTGTAGGGGGACAGGCCCGACTTAAAGGTGGGCCCTCGGGTGTCGAGGGAGGGCCAGGCGAGCCAGCGGCGGCCCTCCCCGTCTCCCCGTCGATTAGCGTTAAGTCTGGCCTGTCCCTCTACAGGGGGACATTTAAGGAGGATAGTCAAAACATAATATGTTTTTTTTTATATGTTTTGGTTGTTTTTTGTAGTTGGCTCGTATGCGTCATTTGTCGCCCAAAATCCCCCTGTAGGGGGACCGGCCCGACTTAAAGGTGGGCCCTCGGATGTCGAGGGAGGGCCAGGCGAGACAGCGGCGGCGAGTTGGCCGTGTTCGGTTCGCGAGAGGGCGTCGCGGCCGTCATTTTTGCCGGTCCAGCGCTTTCGGTCCTAGGCCGTTTTCACTCTCAAGGGAGGTTTGGCCACCGCCGAGCCTGGTGACTTCTCCGTCGCCACGGCCTGGCCCGCATCGACGGAGGGGGCGGGGCAGACCCCAGGAGAGGCCCCGGGGACCTATGTTCGGCAGCTTCGGGCCGGGCGGCAGAGCCGCCGTTGACCCCACTGGCGTGGCATCGCTCGCACGTGCGCATGTTTCCTCGGCGAGTGCGCGTGCCATCGAAGAGCAGCCTGGATCATCACGGAGCAAAAGCACGCACGAAACCAAACCATGCAGGGGAGATGGGCGGCCGAGCGACGGCGAGTTGGCTTTCCTCCGAAGATGAGTGTGGTTTGGGTCGTTCCAGGCCCTCGGGCCCTGTGGCCGGCCTTCCCGGGGCCTCCCGAGGCTGCCGCGAGCCTCTGCGGAAGACATCGGGGGGGGCCCGGACATCCAATGCGTACTACAAGCAGCGAGCGCCTTCCTTTCCGTGGCCTCGCTGTTTGGAGTCTCGGGCGCGATCGCGCAGGTGCGCGGTCGCCGGGACACGTTCCGTGCGGGGCATCCGCGGAAAAAAAAACCCGGTCGCGGCTCATGGGCCCGGCCCGCGAGGCCGGGGGTATGGATCTGGCTTCCGCCCCCACGGAATGGCTTGACCAAAGAGCGTGACAGAGATGTGTCACCCTGTTCGGTTTGCAGCGGCCGTTTCTGTCGCGGGCCCCACGGGACCATCCAGGAGCAGCCTGGCGCGAGCTATCGATCCCCCCAGGGTGAGGTTTCTCGGAGGGATGAGATGAGGAGACGGAGGAGAAGGATACGAGGAGGAGGATGAGGAGGAGGAGGAGGAGGACGAGGAGGAGGAGGAGGAGGAGGAGGAGGAGGAAGACGAGGTCGAAGGAATGGAGGAAGAGGTCGGCGGCGCGCGGCGGGTTTCGCACGAGCCAGGGGGGGGGTCCCAGAGTCGAGGGCACGCAAGAACGGGTTCAAACGCGCGTGGACTGGCGACGGGTATCGCTTCCACACGACATGGGCGCGCTCCATGCGCTGGTTTCATCTGCCAGGGGGTACCTTTCGTAGCCATTCTGGCTCGAGACTCAAGAGTCGATTCGAAATTCCAGTGCGTGGCCACGCCCTTGGAAACCAACTCTGGTGGACCGATGCCCGTGGGCAGGCCTGAGCGCTATTTTATCTGCGCCGTGCGTGGCATTAGCGCGCATCGTCTGCACGCGCAGGATATTTTGAGGAAGTTCGTCGTGTGCTTCGCCGTAATGCTCTTCGTGCCCTTGCATGCTGATTCCACGCAGGACAGTGCGGTCAGCGGCCGCAAGTTAAGTCTGCCAGAGCAAGTTGGTCTCTTCCCTGTCCTGGACAAAGACTCGCTTTCTCTGACAAGACGAAATACTTTAAAAAGTTGCCCAGACATTGTCACACGGGCATTTGTGTAATGGCTGCATTATTTTCCGATGCCCATGCTGAGTGGTGGTGCTGGCTATCGGCGATTACGAATGCTATTGTTTCTTCCTTGATTCCTTGGGTGATTTTGGGCCTGGAGGCCTGGAGTGGTATTGCAACTCTGAGTGGTAGGTAGAATGGGCCTGGATATTGCAACGTTGCTTTGCGGTTCTGGGATCCAAGGGTTTTGATTGCCCTGTCCTGTGGCGGGTGTGTGGCTCTCTTTACTCCGGAGGGACGTTGCTCTTGCATTAGGCATCATGTGGGTCTTGGCACGCCGTCGTCGCAGTTCATTACGGCAGCCTCGTCGGTCGACAAGGATTCGATATAGCGCACAACGTTCACTCGAATCTCCACGTTGGTGTACCTCTTTCATGCTGCATACCTACACGTTTTCTGTCTAAATCGATCATAGTCGAAAATATGGCATGCAAAATTTGGTACCCGAGCGATATTACGCGGCTGTGCTATTGTCATTCCCCTTCGATGCGGTGGAAACGGAGATTATGACGTTGATTTGGTCAAGCCGGGTCGGATGAACTCGTCACATCGGAGTGTAGATGGTAGGCAGATCAGACGAGATCGATTTTGCCGTGCGTTGAGAAATCAGCTTGCCAAATATAATGTGACACTTGCACTTGTCCATGTCAGGTATTCCGAAGTCCTGGCGCGGTGGTGGATGAGCGTGATGGTCAATGTTGACGGGACATCCATACTTGCCAGCACGGTGCCCCTAAAGCCTGCCGAGTTCGTGGTGAACGCTATGGCTCTCCAGTTTTTCTGGTGCAATTAGACAATATCGGAGAAGCTGCTTCAATGTAGGTCTTGCCTTCCGACGCCGAGCGGGAGTCGTTGCTGCTTTGCTGACAGAGCTGAGGCTTTGAGCCGCGAGCCTGGTCGCCCGAACTCGCCCTCCGCCTCCCGCTCCGTATGGGCCACCTGGGCAGTGGTTTTCAGACTGCGGTGCGACCACAGGCCAAGCCGGCCAGATGTTTCTAATAGCGTGGCGATTGTTCCGAATATGCAATTGTGTATGAAGTTGCGCGCTTCTTTGTCATCCGACCCGTTCACTCTTGCCTGGCGCCAATCTAACACATGTTGTAAATCATGTCATAGTTCATTGCGTGTTTGGTCGATGCGCATCAAGTTGAAGCAGGGCCAAGCTGGTTGTTGTGTTCACGAGCACATTAACTTGGCGAAATGCAATTGCAGGTGTGAGGTCCGCAAGGCAGGGGAGGCGGAGGAGTAGGTGTGAAGTGGGGCGCTGTCTCTTCAGAACGAGGACCCAACACCTCAGGATGGTCGGGAATCAAAGAGGGATCAATCTGGGAAGTCGTGCTCGCGAGCAAAAGCACAAGCCTCCGCGATGGATATCCTAAGCGACTTCCCAGCGTCATTGCTGCCTTGCTGACAGAGCGGGGATCTTGAGCCGCGAGCCAGGTTGTCCAAACTCTTACTCCTCCTTCATCCTCCCGCTCCGTATGGGCCCTTTGGCGGTGGTTTTCAGACTGCGGTGCGACCATCGGTCAAGCCGACCATGTCTGGGGATCGGGTCGATTGTAAAGCGGGTGTTCAGATCACGAGGCAGGCTGATTTTTGCTTTCCTCGAGATTTCCCAATGTTTCCGAAGCGATGGCGTCTTTTAACATTTCCTCGCCCAGCCCCTGAGAGTCAAGGAAGCCGGTCAGCAATGCATATGCAATGGGTGGAACCGGTGAGGGCCGATATGCGGGTCCCAGTCAAGATTGGTGAACCCTTGCTGCGCGGCGCTTCGGCGCTGCGTCTGTTGCTTTTCTTCGCTCCGAAAGAATTGAATTTCTGGAGGGCAGGATAATCTGACGAAAGTGCGATTCCCAAACACATCTGGACGCGTAGGGTTGGGACCATATGAATTCCACCGCTCCGTCTCCTGCAGCCCCTCGAGCTGACAGACGGCGCCGCGGACAGTCAGCAAGCTGACTGGCCGCTCGGGAAGACTCAGTGTGGCTTTCGGTGTGTTGGATGGGCATTCGCGGCGGATAAATCTGTCGGGGGACACCTTCCCCGGTCCGTGGATCTGGCGCCTGCGCGCCAGATCCACGGATCCCTAATCCATGTTAGCGTGCGTCCGATAGCAGGCAGGGGCCTTCTTGCAAGGGACCGAGGGTTTCTCAGCAGCTTGCCTCACAGCCCTGCGGCCCTTCTAATTAGGAAAGCTTCACTACGGCGCGCAAAGCCGAGATCTCCAGAAGCCAGGAACACCTCTTGACAACCCCAGAGAGGGGAGGTTTGGGCAAGGGGGGGTTACGACATCTGTTGCATGCAGCCAGTTATGGCCGTGCCGTCGACGTGCCTCCGGCGCCGGGAGGCGCCAGGTCACCGCACAGCTAGCCATCCCAACCCAACCCAAAGGCCCCGTTTTGCCCTCCATTTCCAGTGGAAGGGCGTCGGGGAACATTGAACAAAAACACATGTGTAACCCGTCTCCCCCTTAACCCAAAATGTTGGTCTTTGGATTGGCTTGGGGTGGTCTAGTAGGTAGTCACCAGGAAAACCAAGCGAGCTGATTCGCTAACACCCCTTACGCTATCCCCCCTCTCTCGTCCGACCAGGCGCTCGGTTCTCGAGTTGTTTGGGTGTTGGTGCGTCGAGGGAGCGGGTGGGGATTAGTGTGTGTGTGTGTGTGTTTGTGTTTGTGTGTTGTGTAATTGTGTGCGTGTTTACGTGTGTGTGTGTGCTTACATGGCCCTCTCGTCCTCTCTCCGTGCGTTCCCTGCCCTCCCCCCACTCGCCCTCGTTCGGGAACACTTCTCGGCCAACCCCCTTCTTCCCCCGACTTGAGTACTACGATCTTGTGCGAAACGAACATTCGACCTCAAGTTGCATTCAGTGTTTCTGATGCTACTTGTGTTTGACCCTCCTGCCCTCCCCCCCCTCTTCGGCGCGCCAGAGAGGTGGCGGGCAGGTGGAAGCCCCGCTCCGACATCCCAGACGTGGTGGAGCTGGAGGCCATCGGGTGCTGCGCAACGAGGGGCGATAAATGGGGAAATGGGGGGGGCGGGGGAAGCAAGGTGCGCCTCTTGGAGCCCAAAAGGAGCACGAACGCTCATCGCCCCCCCCCCCTTGCCCCTCCCCCCCCCTTGGCAACGCCCGAGGCCACGAGCGACTGGACGTGCAGCACGCCTTACTGGGGCGGCGTCGTCCGCGGCGGCGGCCCTGCGGAGGAGCCGACCGGCGGCGAGGCGGACGGCGAGGCCGAGGAGCTGCCGTGGGAGCTGTTGCGAAGGCAGGACGAGATCCACTGGTACGACGAGGCGGGGTCTGCACTGCCTTGGCAATGAAGGGCGTGTTTTCTACCATCACCACCACCATAAGTTGGAGGAGGGAAGGAGGAGGAGGAGGCGGAGGAGGAGGAGGAGGAGGACCCCCTCCCCATCCAACTTCTGGTGGTGGTGGTGGTGGAAAACAGGCCCATTAGGCAAGGTCGATTCGTTTGTGTTCGTCGCCTCGGGTTGTTCGTCGTTTCCGGCCTCCGGGGGACTTTTTTGGGGCCCCCGGATTGTCAGAAACGGATTTGGGGTGAACAATTACCCCCAGGAAGTCCCCAGAACGATTTTTGAACGCGACCTCCAAAAGTCACATTCATTTCCATTGGGGTATAGGCCTTCCAGATGAGTTCCAAGTGCTTCGAGTGGAAGGGGTTAGAGGATCGGGGCACATTACCGATGCATCGGCGATGCGGCTCGATGTGAATCCCGATTTCATGAGATTCTGGAGGCCGACCGCGCCAATCCATCCCCGACTTTATCGACGCATGGCTGATGCGTCGGCGACGCGATACCGATCCAGCGCGATCCTCCGACCCCATCTACTCGCACCCCGTTTGTGAGGCCACTACTGGGGACAAACATTGAGAGGGGGAGGCGATACCTATACCGCTGCCTTTCTCCAGTCGCCGCGGCTGGCTTCGTCTCGGAGTCCTCGTCAGAGCGCGCCCTGGGAGAGGTGCGGTCACACTGGGGTGGTCCCCAGATGGCTGTTCCAGAGCTCAGGGGGGCAGGAGGTCATGAGAATGATACGTGCCAGGAAACAGGATTTCCCATATCTCCCAATGTTCCACACCAGCTGCGCCGCTGGTTCCTTTGGAAAGCCTGGAGCGTATCCTGAGCCAGTTTTATCATGACGTCAGTCTCGTTCGTGCAGCCGAGCTACTCCTTCGAGCAGCCGAGCTACTCCTTCGCGCAACCAGTTGCTGGGTGGGTCTCTCGAGCTCCTCGCCGCCTCAAGCGGTGGGCGTCCAGACCAGGAACACCGCAGAGCCGCAGGAGAGCGTGGCATTAGCAGTGTAGCTCCGCACACGCGTCAGGCACTCTCAGCGAGCAGTAGCACAGCCAAGCCCCACGAGCAAGAGCACGGCAGAGCCCCCGAGGTTTCGAGGGCAACCGACCAACAAAACATATGATACCGGAGAAAACACCCAATCAGGGTTATATGGCTAGGGGGCTATAGGGCTATTGAGCTATAGGGCTATAGAGCTATAGGGCTATAGAGTTGTAGGGTTATTGGGCTATAGGGCACCCCGGGCACGCCCGGGCACGCCCGGGCACCCGGGCACCCAGGCACCCGTGCACCCCCTGTCACCCCCCGGGCATCCGGGCGTGCAGCGAAAATCGGCGGCCAACCTCACCCCCGGGCACCCCCAGGCTTGCAGCGAAAATCGGCGGCAAACCTAACCTAACCATATGAGTCCGCTAGGACCCCTAACAGAGGCAAGTTCTGATTGGGGAACTTGGAGGTCTGGGCCCCCTCAGGACCAGGAGGAGGAGGAGGAGGAGGAGGAGGAGGAGGAAGATGATGAGGAGGATGAGGAGGAGGAAGAGGAGGAATAGGAGGAGGAGGAGGAGGAGGAGGAGGAGGAGGAGGAGAAGGAGGAATAGGATCTGCCCGTGGCGACGCCCCTGGCGTCGTCGCCGGTGCGCGCCATGCGCTGAGGAAGGGTTTGTGCGGAAGGGGTCCAGCGCCGAACCACGGCATTCGCGCAGTCGTTAGGAAGTTGATTTGTTGCAGTTTGTTATTGTTTTTGTTGGCTTCTGGTCGGGGGGGACTCGTTACGTTGCATCTTCGAGGGACCTCGCCTGTCCCAAAAATTGGTGTCTTTTCGTTTGTGTCCGACGCAGGCTTGATGCGGATTCGACGCGGACTTGGCATGGATTCGACCCGTGTTTGATAGGGATTCGACACGGATTCGACCAGTCCGACATGGATTCGACACGGATTCGACGTGGATAGGACCGCGACGGGACAGACAAGGTTCCCCGAGGATGCAACATAAGATTCGGACAGGGAGAAATCTTTTCAGAGCGTTTTGGAAGGCTCTCAGAACGTTCCAGGACGCTCTGAAAAGACCGTGGCGCCCGGTACATCCTCCAGACGTGTTAGATCTCAGAGATCCCCGTTTTTCAGGGGCAACTATAGGGGGGAAAGGAATACGGGGGATGCATCGACCCCCAATCGCCCATTGATCGCCCATAAGGGGCCCGACAGCCCCACCCCGCCCAGCAACATGGTGATTGGCCATCAGGTGCCGATCGCCGATCTGTCGGCGATGTATCGCCGATTCCAGGTCGATGCGCCCCCCGTATGCCAGTTCCCCCCCCTCTATCGTTGCCCCTCAGTTTTTATCGCTGCCTCCTCCCCTGCCTCCTCTGCTGTCCTCCTCCCCCGCCTCCTCCGCTTCCCTGGGAGGGAGGAGCAGGGGCACGAAAAACGGCATACAAACATAAAAACTCTGAGGTCCGCGCAGATCTCTCGGATCGGCGCTGGACACCCCTGGCGGCGCCTCCGGCGCCGCCCCTGGCACGCTCCGCGCGCCGGGGAGGGGGGTCCAGCGCGGATCCAAGAAATCTGCTCGGAGCGCCAAAAAGTTAATGTTTCCATTTGGAGGTGCTCTTCTGGGAGGACGAGCTCTCGGACTTCGGCCTCTGCCGGTCGAGCGTGCGGGTCCGCGTGATGCCCACTTTCTGGTTCGCGCTGCTGCTGTGCGAGCTGAGGGTGGACAACGTCCTGCTGCGGGAGGTGTCCACCCATAATCCAAAGTCCCAATCCGCTGCCTTCGCCCTTCGGTTCCCTCTCTTCGTCGTCGTCCTCCTCCTTCTCACCCTCCCTCCTCGTGCCCCTCCTCCTCCTCCTCTTCCTCCTCCTCCTCCTCCTCCCTATTCCTCCTCATTCTCCTCCCTCCTCCTCATCCTCCTTCTCACCCTCCCTGCTCGTCCCCCCTCCTCCTCCTCCTCCTCCTCCTCCTCCTCCTCCTCCTCCTCCTCCTCCTCCTCTCCTCCTCTTCTCCTCCTCCTCCTCCTCCTCCTCTCTCCTCCTCCTCCTCCTATTCCTCCTCATTCTCCTCCCTCCTCCTCCTCCTCGTCCCTCTCCTCCTCCTCCTCCTATTCCTCCTCCTCCCTCCTCCTCCTCCTTTTCCTCCTCCTCCTCCTCCTCCTCCTCTTCCCTCCTCCTCCTGCTCGTCCTCCTCCTCCTCTTCCTCCTCCTCCCAAACGGCACCTGACATACATCACCACCATGCCCAGCCAGGGCCCATTCTGGGCCCCAGGACTTGGCTGACAAAGACAGATATAACATAGACTGTTCTGCGATGTCCACATAAGGCACTCGGTGGTGTAACGATGGAGTCCCGAGGAATGGGGCCCTAAGGATATGAAGGGATCGCCTGACTTGATGTTACATTGTTTGAGGCCCCGTCCTTAGGGCCCCATCCATGAGGGCCCCATTATTGAGCCGCCGAGGCACCCGACATGTACCACCCACCGTGCCTGCCCAGGGAGATCCTGGGCCCCAGGAATTTGCGGACGAAGGACAGCATACATATACGGTCCCACAGGTAAGTTTATTGCACAGGCAGTGGCACGTCAAGGTATAGATTATCCAGCCTCTCTGGGGCAGGTGCCCCCGATGGTTGAACAGTGTTTATTGCATCGATGTTCATCGGCTGAAGGATGGTACACAGAGGGGGAGGTGCCTAGGATGGCTCTGGCAAGGCACGGTTGTGTTGTACAGGTGACCCCCGCATGCGGTAGGTTTGTGTCGGGTCGACATGGTGTGGTGGCGACCCTTGCGCGGGCGTTCAAGATTGATGGCCGTCGGTGACCCGGGCTCCGCCGACATCGAGAGAATTGCACCGTCTGACAGCCGCGTTCGTTCCAGAGGCTGAGCGACCCTTTCGGTGCCAGAAGCCAGTGCGCCCGTCGTTCTGGCGCGAGCCTGCTGCGGAGGCAGGGCGGGACCTAAACGCTGCTCTGCTGGAGTTCGGCTGTGTTTGGTTTTTCGTTGTGGCAGGGAGGCACAGGAAAACAGGCAGAGCAGAACGAGGAACCAAAACGGCAACAAAACGAAAAACGACGTTCAGGTCCAACCTCTGTGCAGAGGTGGCCACACGTTTCTATTGCAGCCTGGACGCCGACCACATGCTGCGCGAGTGGACCTGGCGCGAGGCGAGCTACGAGGCCCTGCGGCGGCGCGGCGTGGCGCCCGAGGCCAGCCCGCACGTCTCGCAGTGCAGCTCGGGCACGGCCCTCCTTGGCCCGGAGGACGTGCGGAGGCAGCCGCCGCCCGTCGCCGCCGCGTCGGCGGAGGGCAGCCAGTCGGGGCATGCAAGCGGAGGAGGAGGGGGAGGAGGAGGAGGGGGGGGGAGGAGGGGGGGGAGGAGGAGGAGGAGGAGGAGGAGAGGAGGAGGAGGAGGAGGAGAGGAGGAGGAGGAGGAGGAGGAGGAGGAGGAGGAGGAGCAAGAGGAGGAGGAGGAGGAGGAGGAGGAGGAGGAGGAGGCCAGTCGGCGGAGGGAAGCAGGCGTCGGAGGAGGGTCAGTCGTGGCATGCCTTTTATTGAACGGATCTTGCAAGCTCCCCGTCGCCTCGAGCGGTGCTCGCTCCGAGCAGGAGCGCAGCCACGCCGCCGGAGGGCGTGGCATGGACAGTGTAGCTCCGCCGCCCGCGGGTCAAGTGCTCTAGCGGTAAGTCGGGCATGCCCCTCTACAAACGAAATATTCAAACATTGTCAAAACATAGTCTGGGAGCGATGTGTAAAATTATTGATGCCTGCTTTTGAGATTATGGTTTGGCTATGTTTTGGTCGACGCCCCAAAATCCGCCTGTAGGGGGACATGCCCAACCTAACTTGCGAGCAACAGCACAGCGAAGCCCCAGGACAGCGAGGCATTGACAGTGTAGCTCAGCATCAACACAGTGGCCAGGAAGCCCCCGCGACATGTCCCCAGCGTTGCTCCATCCCAGCGTTATCCCCTTGCGTGTTTCGCCTTGGGGGGGC